CCACAGGTGAAAAAATCCCTGTCCACGGAAACAAAACGCTGATCGTAGAGAGGCAGATTTTATTGCAAAAAAAGAAAAAAAGAAAGAAAACGAAGTCACACTGCCGCCGACCGAAACACTTATTGAGATAAGCTCGTGTAGCCTAGGGCCAGCACGCATGCAGCAACACCTCTTTAAGCACTTGTTGCGAGTTTCGCTTACAAAACGAAGCAGTGGCAAATCGCCATTAATGAAAACTGTGTCAAATGATTGCCGATGTGTAAGGAGTCACGAACAGAGCACCAAGGTGCCTGTTAATATTGTTTACAATATTTTGTACACTCGTTTTGTCACCATGGCTTCGCATGTAACCAAGTGTTTCTCTCTACCTGCAAACATTGATGTGTTGATTTCAATTTCGATGGGTTTTTTCAATACAAATTGCAATGACAACTCTCGCCTGTCAAAATAATTTAATAGCTAATGGGTGTAAACCGGGAATTGGTTGCACTATTTCTGCCACTCACGGAGCCCGTTTTGAGAACCCATGTGCACGTGCCAGAGCATACGGAAGACGCGTCGGATGCAGGAAAAAAATGACTGCACGTTTACAGTTACTCGCTCACAGCAAACACGTACTCGTAGGTGACCACATGCAGCAGTGTCAACATGAAAGCCACAGTGCCTGGAGAAATGCGCTATGCACGACAGAGAACCGGAGAGTCAACCTCGCTATGCTTGCCATCAAACTCGGTGGTTTTCGCTTGCCGACAGTGGCGCTAGAACACACAGCCTAGCTAATACAAGCAGCTAACTCGATGCACGGCAGTAAATTTTTGTGAGTCACGCATATTTGCTAAAGTTTAAAGATTATGTTGGCACCATGGGAGCCTTTCGCAGCAGAAATGTGGAAAGTGAAAAAAAAACACAATTGGGTGCATCTTATTAGTCAAACTCGCCATTTTTTCCCCACTGCAGCTGAGGTCGGCATCAAAATTCTAGCTTTCGAGGCTGTTTCGGAGCAGTTCGGTGCGATTTTCTGGATTACTATGCTTTTAGAGGAGCTTGGCGCAAAAAACAGAAATATATCGAAAATGCGCTATGTGAGCAGCTGTCTCACTCCTTACCAATGCATGTGTGTTGGAAGTACAGGCCCAGGTCGCAACAGCCTCTTTTGCCTTACACATTAGCTGATTCAAAATTGATCAAAGATGGATTGGCTGCATCTTTGGTACAGGAGGCTGTGTGCAAGTCATGTGTGCACAAGGTATTGAGCAATGTTTATGCTCAGATCGAGAGGTTTCCAACAGCAGGGTTTCCAGATTATGCCGTCACTAGATCCCGCGAAAACGTGTTGAGATGGATCAAACATTTCATCAAATACGAAGTCTGTGAGAAAAATCATGAAAGCCACTTTAGTCTGCTCCCCCACGTTCAAGTTCTTTATTAATACAAGCTCTTATTAGTACATGAAAATACACAACACTTGTTAGAGTGGTTCACAAGATGGCGCACAATTAAGAGTGTCGCATGCAGATATGATGTGGCAGTGGTATGTACGGCTCTTAAGAAGCTGGGTAGCACTTGCACACTTGTTAAGCTCGGGGCCAAAGGCTAAACCAAAAATAAAGGTGAATGTGGTCAGAAACACCGAAACTCCTCCATTCCTTGTGTTACAGGAGTAGTGTACAAGACTCCTCAGTCATGCGCCAACAGTTATATTGGTCAGACTGGTAGGTGCATGTTAGATTATGGCGGCACCAGAAGAAATGTAAAAAGAATGTCTGAATATCAAACTTGTTTGCTTATTGAACACAGCGTCACTGAAAGCTACTGTTTAACAAGATCAGGGGTGCACCAGCCGAAATACAGCTTGGAGCAATTTTAGGAGCAGCAAAATATTACTTTTTAGACACTAATATGTAAATTTTGAGCAGGTTACAAGGAAAAAGAAGTGCAATTTTAATCACTAGATACCAAATTTTGAGCAGTATAAATAAGAAAGCTTACAATTAAAAACAAAATATGTATAAACCATTCAACATCACCTAAATTGCGCAGTGTAAACATGAGCACTGCTATTTCAACGAAAGTGGTATTTTGAACCACCCCACTGAGCCAACAATGATTAAGTCCATATTAGCATTTGCTGTGCCTGTAAAATCATTTGACAGACTCAGCGAATTTAAATATGGATCAGCCAAGCTTGTGGCCATAAAATTCGGGAGATTTCTAATATGAAGAGAAGATGGGGTGAAAAAAAACTGGTGCACAATTTAGTTTTTTTGGGGGGAAGGGGAAGCAGAGATGTCATGCACTGCTCCAAAATATTTCCAGTAGCATATTTAGACAGCAATGATTACACTGATACTCACCATCAGGCAGCGTATTAACGCATGAGTAAGTGAACATTATGTGCAGTGTCCCGTGACTAGGTATAACAGCCCCTTCCAAATCTCAATATGCTTTTACATAAAGCACCAGTATAAAATGGCAAAGGTGGCCTATTCAAGATTCCCTGCACGGGTTAGAATTCCAAGTCAAGAAATTTTCGAATCACTACACCTCCCCTTCCCCAACTTCCCACCTTGTTTTTTTTCCTACTGTGGGGTTAGGTATCGCTTCGGCTCTCCCTCGAAGGCGCGTTCGACCAGGTAAAGTAACAACGGCGTGCACCCGTTGACCTAGCGACAGTACCGCAGATGTCCATCGCCAGGACCGTGGCTGGGGTGACGCAACTTCAAGACGAAAAAAAAAGGGGGGGAGGGGGGGCTCAGAGCTTTCAATGAAATAGGAAGTGTCCAGTTTTTTTTTTCTTTTAAGGTTTATTCACGAACTGTGCGATATTTCACGGCAGCTCTTAGAAGCTGAATCAGTTTTCGAAGCTTACAGTTTTCGCCTGTAGATCAAAACAGCATTGAGAGTAAGCAACAGTGGCTATGGGCCCATCCTACAGACGTAATCTATAAGCAAAGAACCCTGTGACCTGAGACCACAGATGGCAGAGGTCTTGCCAGAATTTTTTTCGAAGGGGCGCCACCTTGATTCGAATCGGTCCCAGCTAGGCAAGTAGAGGTGGTAGACTGTTATTTTCTGCTCCCCTATATACCATAGGAAAATATTGGGAGGGCAGAGGCACGGGCCTGGTGTGCCACCCCCTGGCTGCGCTACTGGTGGATGAAAACCAGTGTGGTCGAGTACGCACATAGAGAAGGAGAGGCGGGGAGGAGGGTGAGAGTGGCACAGGCTACTGTTAGGTTACCTTGGCGAGAAAAGTAGCTCTAACTGGAGTGGCACATGTATGATGTAAGAAAGGTTGCGTCCAACGTGCTGGCCGATCACACAGAAGCAACTGGCAACGAAATAGACTGGAATAAGGTGAAATTACCAAAATAAAGGGAAAAGAATTAGACTTCCGGGCTATATCTACACTCTCTGAAAATTCGGACAACAACGGGGCACATTCTTGAGTGTAATGACAATGACAGCAACTTCCCCCAGATATACACACCTACATCTTATTTTGAAATATATATAATTGGACTGTTCGCACATTCATTATTAGTTGTGACAACGCTCCCGGGCGGAAACTTAAATGTTCAGCTTTTATGCGAGCATTCATGGTTGGTGCTCATGTTAACCCCGTAGTTGAATAACAACCACAACACAAAAAGAGAGAGGAGACAGTGGCACTGCTAGCCGCCGTGAGAGTACTTTCACGTATGTAGCGCACTGAGGCATGCCGCCGGTAACTTTTGCTCTCTTTCCGGATTTTGTAGTCTGGAGAAGTCCGCACACATGAAGCCAGAGCCGAACAACGCTGTTCGAAAATGAAGACACTGCAAAATCACGGTAGAATCACACATGCAACCGCCAGCTTTCTTTTGCCAGTGCGAGGCGAGATCACGTGATCCAACCCTGCACGTCACGGTGACAGCAGCACTCGGGCCACTGGTGGTGGGCCTCACGCCCAATATGTTATGGAAACTGCATGACCTATCCTTGGCACACTGAACGGTGCAGCAAGCAATAGAGAAATAGGTCGGTGCAGGGTGAATCAGTGGTCGAAAAGACAGTGACAAAAGACTTTTCGAAAACAGTCAACCATAGATTCTTGGCTCTCTAACGCATTTGTAAGTAGTGTAAATAAACATCTTATATATTATAGAAACCAAATGTCAGTGAATGGCTGAATAAAACCCTTTATAATATACTCTTTCCTGTGAGGCAAGTTTTGGTTCATGTCAAACATTAGTTGGCAAAAAATTAGACCTCACTCTAACTCATTTATACATACTTCGCGTCTGGGGCTCAATCTAACCCACCAAAATTTTCTTAAGCCAGACTCGCTCGGCCTCAAGCTCGCTAAAATATTACTCACACTTACTCGCGCAAGAACATGGCTTATTTGAGTATGCGCGAGTCTTGACTAAGTCAACTAATAAGTGAGTTGCTGACCTAAGGTGTCAAGTTAAGGAGACAATCACAGAGCGCCCAAACATAATAGGCTAGATTAAATCGATCGATCAGATAGATTGATTTATTCTAGCGATGCGGTACTGTCGCTAGGTCAACGGGTGCACGCCGTTGTTACTTTACCTGGTCAAACGCGCCTTCGAGGAAGAGCCGAAGCCATACCTAACCCCACAGACCAACTGACAGACAGATATGGTTAAGGGGCTTTTAGTTCGCTAAAATTGCTCTACTTTAAAGAGCAAGTGACTACCAGGAGCTCAGCCCTTGAAGAAAGCGTCACTTTGAGACTTCAGCTTTTCTGGTTTCTATAAATAGAAAGCACTTATGAGACATTTTGAAAGTTGCCACTCTGTACTAGCACTGGTGTCCAAGCGATAGCCAACAGACTGCCCTAAACAAGCCTTGGAATGCAAACCACCGGTCAACAGCATGAGAAAAAATGAATTCCTCGTTATTATGGCAGGACTACAACACTTGGTAGGCTAAAAAAAGAAATAATTGGAAAACTGATGTGTTTTCGAAACACCCGACAGCGTTGTACAGACCTTGTGTAGAATCTGCTGCCATCTAGCAGACACCGAGGGCATCTCTGCAATGTTGAAGGCTCGGCGCGCTCCACCTGTGCAGGCACGGAATGTCCATATTAACGTGTGGTGGCAGATAGGAGCGGCAATGCCAACAAATTTTCGTGTGCCATGTTGCTCAGACTGAGGAAACTGGGATTCTAAAAAATATTTGCAGGAGTATAACCTCTATGTTATTTGACTTCCTCGTGGCTGACGCGAAGGGCCAGATTTGTTGCTCATTTTGCTGCTTACAATTAAATGCCTGTTTATGTTCTCCATTCTATCCAGATGTGGGACAGCATAGGCATTCATCATAGCACGCTCTTTCATGCCATGCCAAAATGAAACGGTTTTGGCACCGTGTGAATGCAGGCACAGCCAAACCGGCCTTGTGCATGAGATTCAAAGTTGCACCACGGCTAATCATGCTTGCCTCTGCTGCTGTTTACAGCATTACTTTGTAGATTACATTGCGATAACAAAAACGTATTAGCCACGTAGCTTCTGCATGTCATCGATTCTCATCTAATGAAATGGTTGTGTTCGAACATGTTGCTTATGGTTACTTGTTTATTGTGGAGTATAATAAGGTAACATTGGATTGTGTAGTATGCACACGTATTGCATCACTATGTGTACTTTTTCAAGCATTCTATGCGCTCTTTCTGAGGGGGCGGCCGATTTCATAAGGGCAAACCGAATGCTGTGACCCTCCGCCTCTTATTATTATCTTTTTATACGCCAAGAAGAGTAAATATGTTATTCCAAATGATGATCCTCTTTCATAAAAAATCTTGTATCCACCTTTATGTGCCATGAAATGTTAACAGATGTCTCAAGTGTGTCAACACTGTTCAAAACTGAAAATATGCTGTTCTGCCAAATCTGCTACCCTTAACTGTGAGTGCGCTCTCACTGTTTAGGCACAAAGGTGGTTTCGCAAATGTTCAGTAGGCGATACACAACTGCCCTGCTGCAAACGGCGTGAAACTTTAAGGTGCAAATAAGCCCCGAAGAACCCAAATATTTTACACCTACTGTGCTGTTTACGAGAACATGCCCCCCCCCCCAAAAGGGTATTCAATGAAAAACCAGCTAATCAGCACCTACATAATGGATACGCCTTTCATTTTTTTCTTTTTCACGCAGAAGACTTAAAGTTAAAAAAATTTTGTTTGTGTGTTAATGCTATATATAGCGTACGTTGATGACTACAGCAGCAAAGCATTATTTATTTGAAATACAAAGAAAGAGTAAGAAGTTTCATTTCAAGTTAGATGTGCGTTAAATTGGAGGGGCTATTTTGTAAGTATTCTATCTAGAACAGGGCAGACATAAAACAAAAGAATGAAATGGAGCCACACTAGATTGACCAAGGCTATTCTCATGGTCTAGACATGAGAATAGCCATGAAAGGTGCATAGAACGGGTGGAGGCCGCATTCCGTCAATAAAATGGAGCCAAAATGGCATCCGAACAACATTGATTCGATTGAAATGAAGCACTTGAGCCCCAAAATTTAATTAGCCTGTTTTGCATCTCACTTACCATATTCTTACTGCGAAAATCACAACAAAATGACTCCTCCGAATTGCAACACTACCTAGCATCTACTAAAGACACAAATAAATGGCTGAAACCACCCCAGTCTGCATTATCCAGCTTTGAAAAACAACACGTGCCAATAATGATGATATGCTGTATTCATTTTATATTTTTACATGCGTTGAAAGCATTTCCGAATTCTCTTAGCTTGCTTACAAGCTTTTTGATCACTTGTTCTTTCATTCTATTTCCTCCCATTCTAAATAAAACACTTCCAAAGGAACCCCCCCGTCGACATAGGCCATTTCCAGTAAATACGCTTTGCAATGGTGTAACAGAGCTTCCTTAGCCCCCAGCTGTGTCTCGCCTCTTCTCAGCCACCCTGCATTGTTCCTCATGAATAGCAAATAACTAAAGCAATCCTTATTTTAAAATCCGCCCACTGCTCCAGTCCATTTAAATGGCCCCTAAACAACCTCTTATAATAGTTTTCAAGCGTTCGAAGCAAACACGGCCATCATGTGCGAAATGCTGCATGATCTGTGATTCTCCACGTGGCAGCGCAACAAGCCACCAGTGCTCCACAAATTCCAAAAAACAATCCCCCCATGCCTTTCGGGCTGGCAAGTGACATCAAAAAGTTGAATCTGACGTGCAGAATAAATATGCTGCAATTGGTCAAGCAAGCACCTATGACTTCCTGTTAGCCTACAAGAAGCTGTCCACGCCACTCGTCGTTTGTCGTGATGCCCACATGCATGCACGTGCTTGCAAATCAGGTACTGTGGTCTGTAGGACAGGGTTCATACCAACACTATTCGTATAAGCACCGGCTGGCACAGCAACAGCGATTCGCCAACAAGCACATAGTTGACAGAGGGCGGAGTGGCGGCAACCGTAACAAGACAGTGTTTGGAGCAATATGTCATCGATGATGCATGCCGCGCAAGATTAGGAGAGGTGCTTGGCAAGAGGTCAAAGCGGCTTCGGGAGAGGTATCAACGGAGGGTAGTGAAAAAAAGAATGAAAGGAGTGATTACTGTGCTTAGATAATCAAACGCATTCAACTCCGCCATTACAGCACCGTTTCAAAAAAATTTAACAGCTTTATGGTTGTTGTGCACTTGCGCACAACTTCTTCACCACAACTGAATTTCCACCTCTGGGTGGCTAAATATTGCATCTGCTTTCTGGCTGCATGTAGTTTAGCACATATTGCGTGCCAGCCCCAGCACTGTTCAGGTATTAAAATAATCCTTGGTGCATGGCTGTGAGATTGGTGGCCTCGAAATCTAGCGGCAAATGTTTAGATCAGCAATGCTATTTCCACTGATACACACTGTCAAACGTGAGGATGTGGTGCAGCATGGCATAATCTACATTGATTTGGTTAGGATGGTGCAGGAAACTTAGTTTGTCACATTTGTAAGCAGAAGCAGCATCACTAGATGGGGAATGGGGGGCTTTTACACCATTAAAACCACGCGAAGCTAACAGACAAGGCAAACATAGGAATTCAGATGAATTATTACTTGAAATTTCGTATTTTATTTCTGACTCGCCACGAGTGAATTTTCAAAACGAACTGAAGAGTATTGTTTGGCTTGCAAAGCAAGAAAAAACAAAAAGTAAGTCAGACCTCCTTTTGTTGTCTGCCAAGCTAACTCCGCTAGTAGCAACATGATCACCACCACAACTTTCTTTCCTGCGAAGTAACTGGCATAAATGTTGATGCCACTTTTATTTACTCGTATTGATGTCACGCAGCTTTTAAACGTCGCTGCTCATTATATCTAATCTAGCTAGCAAGTTACACAAGTCTTGTCTAGCGTACTAACGTCCCAAACAAAGAACTTCCTCTAGTTGCAATGGGCCACGCTCCACATAATGGCCACGCTGAACCCCGGGCAGACTGTGGTAGTCGGCCTTGTTTTAGGTGCATCGTAAAGACGTGGTTATGCAAAATGGTGCGACATGTGCTACGTGTATGCACCATTTAGCTCACATTGCCGATACACTGCACAAGTTTGACACCCGGGTACATAAAAATAGCATTGGTGAGAGGAAGGCATTTTTGTAAAAGATATGCGAGACATAGGCAGACGAGATAGGCTCGCTTCATGTTGCGGTAAGCTTACACAAGTTGCACATTAAAATATTACCTGTTCTCTACTAAGTACCCTCGAATCGAAAGAAAAAAGATCGATGACTCGGGTCGCACGTACACGACCAGCCGCGACTGTTCGTCCTACTTACTCGCCGAATACTCGCACACTACAGCGAGTTGTTGATTAAGATGCACATGACAGGTATGAACAACAAGGCGCTCGAACAGAAGAACAGTAACTTAAACTCACAAATATAATCTGGCTCGTCGCTTGCGTTGCTGAGGCAGCTGAATTTTTCTTTTTTCTGCCCAGAACCCGGATGACAAAATCAGTGTTGCCAGGTCTTGGTAAGGGAGCGTCGATGAAATCGGACAAAACCGTTCGAAATGGGGGCCAGGGAAGTATTTACTCACAACAAAACTAAAAATGATTTCAAGCCTCCTTAACAAAAGTGATATTTAGCACTCGGAAAGGCAGCGATGGTGCAGTCAACCAGCAAATGTCAAAATCTACTGTCGCTCAGCTTGGCGAGCTGGTATCACGACCGAGGTCATGGTTGGCGCGAAAGACTGTGAAACAAAATTTTTTAATGTATTAGCATGCAATTGATAGCTTTTATACAGCACCAGCTGTCTGTATAGCCAAAAAAAAAAGAAGCGTACTACTTCTTACGACCGTGCTAAGCTTGCGTTGCGTGTCACACAGACACCTATCATAGCGGAGGGAATAAGACGATTGCAATCTGCGCATCGCAATTTCCGGCTCTCAGGCTGTGATTTAGCTAGCGTCTTCACCGAACGTTTGCGTGATTCTGCGCAAACACAACCTGAGGGGTCTGATCACGATCCAAAGACACCGTTACAAAGAACCAGCAAGAGAAATCAGGCAATCCTCACAAAATTGCGAAAATCAGCATCGGCTGATCCGATTGCAGCATATATTTTATTTCATCATGCCGCAGTTCCGGATGGTATGCAGCTGCAGTAGTCTTGAACTCGACATGCGTGAAAAGCCACGGTTGTACCTGCTAGAATGAAGCGTATATACCAAGCGAAAATGACGGCCGTAAAGAGGCGAAGAAGTGCACAATTTTCGTCCTAATTAAATTAACTGATAGTCTAAGGTGCTAGGCGTTGCCACAAGGTTTGGTTCAAACTATACAATTCAATACAATAATACCGGTTTAGCCATACCGTGGTTTCGACGCTTCACCCAGAAATCAACACTGGCTACGCCCTTGATACGTGACTCAGCATGGTCACACGTGTGTGTAGTTTTAATCTCGGATACACCTCGCTCTGATTGCGACATACCCCAGACCGCATGAACACAATACGGCAGCTCGTGAAATACAATATCTAAGAGTATACACGTGCATGCTTCA